ACCGATCATAACATTTTTACCCCTCTTTTTTTCTTTTTCTTTTTCCATTGAATTTCTTTTCCATTGAATTTTTTTTCCTAAAACTATTTTTTATTGATTTTTAAAGTTGAAAATATGAGAATATCTTTAAATTTAGGTTTTAAATCATTAATTTCAATTGTTTAAATATTAATTATAATAGATTTAGCATGGGAAAATATATTTTGAAGAACATGAATATGATGGTTTGTAGTTATGGTAAGAGAAATAAAAAAAATAAAAAAATTGAAAAGAGGTGGATCGGTATGTGATTAGCGACTTCGATTCAGTTGAATTGCTAGTTAGCTAGCGACGGTGCACACTTATGATCGCTATATTACTAGCAACTCCCTTCAAGGACAATAGGAATAAAAGGACCGATCGTAACATTTTTCCCCCTCTTTTTTTCTTTTTCTTTTTCCATTGAATTTTTTTTCCTAAAACTATTTTTTATTGATTTTTAAAGTTGAAAATATGAGAATAACTTTAAATTTAGGTTTTAAATCATTAATTTCAATTGTTTAAATATTAATTATAATAGATTTAGCATGGGAAAATATATTTTGAAGAACATGAATATGATGGTTTGTAGTTATGGTAAGAGAAATAAAAAAAATAAAAAAATTGAAAAGAGGTGGATCGGTATGTCATTAGCGACTTCAATTTGAATTGCTAGTTATCTAGCGACGGTCCACACCTATGATCGCTAAATTACTAGCAACTCTCTTCATGGACAATAGGAATAAAATTACCGATCATAACATTTTTACCCCTCTTTTTTTCTTTTTCTTTTTCCATTGAATTTCTTTTCCATTGAATTTTTTTTCCTAAAACTATTTTTTATTGATTTTTAAAGTTGAAAATATGAGAATATCTTTAAATTTAGGTTTTAAATCATTAATTTCAATTGTTTAAATATTAATTATAATAGATTTAGCATGGGAAAATATATTTTGAAGAACATGAATATGATGGTTTGTAGTTATGGTAAGAGAAATAAAAAAAATAAAAAAATTGAAAAGAGGTGGATCGGTATGTGATTAGCAACTTCGATTCAGTTGAATTGCTAGTTAGCTAGCGACGGTACACACCTATGATCGCTATATTACTAGCAACTCCCTTCATGGACAATAGGAATAAAAGTACCGATCATAACATTTTTACCCCTCTTTTTTTCTTTTTCTTTTTCAATTGAATTTCTTTTCCACTGAATTTTTTTTCCTAAAACTATTTTTTATTGATTTTTAAAGTTGAAAATATGAGAATATCTTTAAATTTAGGTTTTAAATCATTAATTTCAATTGTTTAAATATTAATTATAATAGATTTAGCATGGGAAAATATATTTTGAAGAACATGAATATGATGGTTTGTAGTTATGGTAAGAGAAATAAAAAAAATAAAAAAATTGAAAAGAGGTGGATCGGTATGTGATTAGCGACTTCGATTCAGTTGAATTGCTAGTTAGCTAGCGACGGTGCACACTTATGATCGCTATATTACTAGCAACTCCCTTCATGGACAATAGGAATAAAAGTACCGATCATAACATTTTTACCCCTCTTTTTTTCTTTTTCTTTTTCTTTTTCCATTGAATTTCTTTTCCACTGAATTTTTTTTCCTAAAACTATTTTTTATTGATTTTTAAAGTTGAAAATATGAGAATATCTTTAAATTTAGGTTTTAAATCATTAATTTCAATTGTTTAAATATTAATTATAATAGATTTAGCATGGGAAAATATATTTTGAAGAACATGAATATGATGGTTTGTAGTTATGGTAAGAGAAATAAAAAAAATAAAAAAATTGAAAAGAGGTGGATCGGTATGTGATTAGCGACTTCGTTTCAGTTGAATTGCTAGTTAGCTAGCGACGGTGCACACTTATGATCGCTATATTACTAGCAACTCCCTTCAAGGACAATAGGAATAAAAGGACCGATCGTAACATTTTTCCCCCTCTTTTTTTCTTTTTCTTTTTCCATTGAATTTTTTTTCCTAAAACTATTTTTTATTGATTTTTAAAGTTGAAAATATGAGAATAACTTTAAATTTAGGTTTTAAATCATTAATTTCAATTGTTTAAATATTAATTATAATAGATTTAGCATGGGAAAATATATTTTGAAGAACATGAATATGATAGTTTGTAGTTATGGTAAGAGAAATAAAAAAAATAAAAAAATTGAAAAGAGCGGGATCGGTATGTAATTAGTGACTTCAGTTCAGTTAAATTGCTAGTTAGCTTGCGACTATGTATCCATAAGATCGCTATCTTACTAGCAACTACCTTCATGGACAATAGGAATAAAAGTACCGATCATAACATTAAATGACATTCCGCAACCTTAGTATTTGGGTGAGATTTTTCGATTCCGTAAGTTCGAGCACTTTCTTTTTTAGGGACGTTTTGATATAAACGTCTCGTTTTTCAATGTCATAGATTAAACAGCTATTCCTTTTGCAAATTTGATTAAACATTTTCCCTACAATTTTGGTACTTCAATTTTATTTCATTAGAAGTCTATTCATGTTAGCATTCTCTTTTTTCCTCCTATTTTTATGCATTTCTTATTATGATGATTTAAGATTTTTTTTTATTTTTTATTAAAATATTTATTTTAGTAAATGAAATAGAATGTAACAAAACTCGCTGTTAGGTACGTTCGGTTATATCGGTATGTTTGATTATAATGGAACATTTGAATTTTTGGTACGTTTATTTTCAAAACATAAGTTTATTACTTTTGTCCTAATAATGAGGAATTACTTTAATTAATTTTTTTTTTTTATAGAAAGAGTCGTTGTTTAAATTACTTTAATTTTTTTTTATATAGAAAGAGTCATTAATCAATGGATAATAGTCTTTTTGTTAATTCAAAATTATATGATTTATCGTTATTATTTAGCATTATTTACAATAATAAGGATTTATCTCCAATCAACTAAAAGTTGTTCCAGAGACTTATCTACCAAAAAACAAGACTATCTAAAGCAATATGTATGAATCAAACATGTTTTTAAACATTCCAAAAAGATGAATATTCATTTTAATATAGATTATAATTGGGTACGTTTTAATTTGGGGTTGGTACGTTTTCGTTTGACGTTGGTACATTTTCATTTAATGTTGGTACATTACCATTTGGCGTGAGTGTACATTTAGATTTAAAAAGTTTTAATTTTTAGACTTAAATATAGTTGAAATTATTTAAAATATATAGCAGATATTTAAATGTAAATTAATTTCAATTAATCTGAAGTAGTTCAAGTTTGAGTATCTTAATCAAATGTTTCAAAAGCTTAATCAAAAACTCAAAAAGCATAAATGTTTAGTCTACAAAAGTCTAAAATGAAGCATCTAATTCTAATTTTCTCTTTTTTTTAATACCAGGGCTTAACAAATATAACACCGGGGCTCTTCTAATTAGATCAAGAAGGTTGGGAATTAGGTTGGGAGTTGGGAGGCAACACATTTGGTGAACAGTATGCCCATCAATGAACTCGAGTTCCCAACTTGAAACTAATCGTTTGTATACAAATTTGAATTTTAGCCCAAATGGAGATACATACATACATACTTACATACCTTGGTTCCCCACTTATGAGGGTCTCGACGTCTATCGTACACAATCTTACTCTTGTTTTGCAAAAAAGTTGTTTTCATGGCTTGAACCCATGACCTTTTAGTCACAAAAGAGCAACATTTCTGTTGCACAAATACTCGCCCTACCACATTAATTCATGTGTGACTTCAATATATATATATGCATGAGTTACACACGTACAGTACCCTTCAGTTGGATGGCATAATGCATTGTGATCTTCATGGGTTTGGGGTTTTTAAACACAAACTCACTAATTTCATAAGAACCAAATGATTGAGACGGTCCAATGGCTACCTCTGGTTCCAAAGCCCAAGTGATACATTTCGCCTGAACCAGTTCCCTCCACCGGTTTGAGAGAAACTTCCACTATTAATTTAAGAGAATTTTAACGAAAAGCTTTCGATACTATTCACTTTAACAAAAAATCACATTTTTAAACTAAAAAGTCAATCATGGTACTATTCACCTTACCCTTTATTTTGTCCTTATAGTTAAAACTCAAAATTTTCAAACATTTTTCATTAATTTTCCTTTAATTTAATTATCTCAACTTTTGCCAATGTAGTCTACTCCATTCACAAACTCAAGGATGAAGAACTGGCGAAAGTTGAGACAATTAATAGTCAAAGAGCTTGGCCCGTCTCTCAAACTAGTGGAGTATATATTTGCCAGCGTGGTCTCTTTTTCATAACAAAGATTGAGTTAAAACTGTCAAAATATTATTGTAGAAGGTCCTTGAAAGAGTTATACTCCAACCATACTCCTTACTTTAGAGAGTTATAATGATTATGAATCAATAATTAGCCAATAATTTAATTTTTAAAATAATATGAAAAGGAAAAGGTTATTAACGCTCCAAAATTTCATATTATACACTCCTCACATGTGTAATTTTTCTTTCTAATTATAGAAAGTTTGGAGTGCAAGATGAAATTTTTGGAGCGCAAATAACAATTCTCTATTAAAATAGTTAACATTAATTATAGAGCCCCTAAGAGCTCCTTTCTCCCTCCCTTTATTTAGGTGCTCCTATACCAACCCCAATCTTAGGAGCTGGATAGGGAGCATGACTAGATGGAGCTAATTTTATTGAAATCCCTAAATTCTAGTTAGAGACCCATTGAAAGATGCTCTAATGTCCTTGTGGCTCATTGTGTCGGTTGTACCTCAAAACTACTCCCCAGCAATTACAATAGAACAGTATTCAAGTCTGATTTTAACCAAACGCATCGAAGATAACCAAACCAAATCAATGTTCAGCTTAGAGCCATTGTTGATGCGTACAACGTTTATGAATAACAAGCAATACAACAAACTAGCAAGGGGGACATGGAAGCCCGTCCTTGTTCAGAATACCAACGAAGATGGGGGTCTACACAAAAGAATAAAGCCATTATAGCAAAGTGGATTCACAATTTCAGTCGCAATAGTTACATAATACTACCGAGTAAAAATGGAAAAATACAAAAACGTAATACACGAAAAATTGGCAACGACAACGCTATTCCTTCATTCCCAAACAATTACAAACACGCATTCGCACAAAAAGGTCACATATGTTTTTACACCTTAAGGGAATACATTCAACTCCCTTGCATAATTGCGAGTTTCAGGTTCATGGCATTCCCTTCCCTACCTGGAAACGACTATCCAATAATCACTGATCATCCAAATGCACACCATCTCAAAATCAATAATACAAACTAACTCCATCATTGAACTGCATCCTTCGACGTCACATGACCTCTACTTTCAGTGACATTGACATTAGCAAGGACGTCCGGCGCAATTTCCCAACTCCCACTTCTTCCCCAACTCGAGTGCCGAGCATCAGATCGAATGGTGGGAGCCCGGTCTGAACCTAAAGCAGAGAGCACCTCTGAGGTATTATGAGGCCCGTTGCTCCCTCTACTGCGTATGTCCTCATCAATTTCTTCAATGTTTCGACGCTGTGAGATCTTCAACAGATCTTCACCAATATCTAAATCATCCTCAACCTTAGAACGTGGATCCCCGCCAGATTCATCAGGCTCTGCTTCCCGAGCAATGGGCATAGGGGGAGGCCTTTGTACCTCCTCTTCAACGAAAGCTCGAAAGTTATTTCTTGAGGGTTTTACTCGTGTGCAAAACACTTCGAGAAAGTTATTTAAACAGCCCCGGTTGTAAACATTGATCCTATTGTCAGCTCTGTACCGGAAGTTTTCATACGTAGTCTGAAAAAAAAAGGGGGAAATAGCTATTGAAATGAATATAATCAGAATAATAATAGAGGTAAAGCAACGAATATGTTCTTCCAATGTAAGGGTTGAAATGATGACTGAAATACTAAAGTGTTAACTAGACTCAAAATACTTTCCCCCATAAGGGAAAAGAACGCTCAAATGACGCATGTACTGCCAGGTTCCTCTGCCTACCATTGTGACACTAAATGAACACCAGTATGAAAAAGATACCAATGCAGAACGCTTTTCTCTAATTCATCAGATGGTTTCATAATCAGTTCGGCTTCTGTCCTCACTACTAGTAAGTGACACAGGATGCATAATTTCATTTATTTCAACAATATTATGAGATGACAGATGTATCCGACATGCTGTCATCTTGGACTTCATAAACAGTTATGTGAACTTCGTGAATTAGTACTACCACTTGTGCCATACCGTTCAAAAAGACTTAGACATTGGCCAACCCCTTATCTTTCATACAAAACTGATGTTAAAACCTCGTACTGAACCAAAAAAATACACATGCAATATGACTGACCTGGTTGGTACCAATAAGGTACAAATGGAAGCCGGTTAGTCCACCAACAAACCAAAGAGAAATGAAACAGTAGGCCATTAGAATCACAGAGGCAGGCGATTCTTGCATTGCCTTCCAAACTGTCCTGTGATCATCCATCAGAATCTTGATGTACACAGCCGATAAAGCGAATACATAGATGCAGAGCAGAGTTGCAGAAGAAACGAAGAGAAAGAAGTAACGATAATTGCACTGCACATAACACAAGAAATTAGATTTTTAATGCAAAAGGCCTCCTGAATAAAGGAAACAAGAATCAACTACAAAAATGAGAGAACAAATCAATCTAGCACTCCAAAACATTACTAATGAGGAAGGTACAATTCACATGACACAATTTTTAAGGTGCCGGTTAACAGCATACCTGTCCAATGCATTGGCCCACCCAAGGGCAGTGGTGATCAAAGCGCTCCACACAATTGTTGCAAATAGAACAATGAGAGCAACGAGGCGGACGATATAGCATACAAGTATCACAATATTTCACTCTCACAGAAAGGCCATTGACCATCACTTCTTTTGTTCTGGGGAATTGAAGGCTTGGAGTTTGTCTACCACCAGCATTAGATGCCACTTGTCTTCCACCAACATCAATGGACACTGAAGAGTCATAACGGAACTCTTCCTCTGGTGGATGTGCATTTCTTGGAATAATCCCTGGGTCCCGGGCTGAAGTAAGAAAAAGAAGCACCAACACCTATCAACATCAACTAACGAATTAATTTATGCCCAAAACTCGGACAACGATAGAACTTCAGTGGAAACACTTTTGAAAAGATTGCAATCGATATGAATACTATTGTTGTTATTTACAACAGTGAGAATAAAACATTCTAGAGGGTGATCAATATCATATTTGCAAACTAGAGTTGCAAAAGAACTACACTTCATAAATGTCAGACGAAGATTAAACAAATAAACGCAAGACCTAGGTTAAGTTATCATTCACAAAATGCATAGTCTTGGTGACTTTGAATCAAGGCCTTAAAAAGCTAAATTGATCTAAACATTTTTAGTGGTTGTTCCTTTTATTTCACAGAGTTTGCCTCTCTCTTTCTCTGTTTTGTACTTTTCAGCTCTAATGTAAGCTTCTTTCTTGTTGGGGGACAACACAACAAAAACACCCTAACAGCAAACATATAGGCCTTGTGCATAGATTTGGTACTGACAATAGTTATGTCACAGTTTAGTCAATACAACAAAGTCTGCCATTTATTATTTATTCCTCACAATTTCCTGAAACAAAAATTCATTTATTCCCCAACTTAAAAGTCAATTCAAGTAAAAATCCTCAAGATCTAAATATAAGATTTACCAAATTAATTATGAGAATTTTAACTACCAATACAACACCACCAATCCACACATGTAAAATGTTGAACTAACGGTACAAACTTAACAGGCAAATATATGATTTATTAAGCTTTGCATTAGAATTTTATTCTGTTTGTGGGGGTTCCCATTCCACAGGGATCTGGGGTTACAATTTAAATATTCACATGAAAGTATGCATAAAGCATTGATAATAACTTTTTGCAGACCCAGCGGAAGACGGCACAGTGCAACCCCACAAACAGTTTTAACATTCAAATGCAAAGCTCAGAGATCACATGAGTTGGTTAATGGCCACATTATCTAACCATTCATCTGTATGTGGCCATGCCAAACACATGGTCTATTATTTGTGTAAAAACTCAAAATACAACCATATACATATATAGATCACGTCTGCCAGATTACAAAATAAAAAATAAAACGGTTTAGAGGACTTACATAGATAGTAAATACAATTGCTACAACCAGAATTGCATAGCCAGCATTATATGAAGGAAATTCATGCCGGAGATGCCATGCGACAAATACACAGAAGATAATAACCGGAGCAATGATTAATAGTAATGTGACAAGCAGTGACCTAGCATCTGGCCCAAATATCAACCTTCCACCAAGGATGAACTTCTGCAAAAGGATGAAGAAAAAGATTGATGACCGTAATAATACCACAGTAGAGAGAAATCAATCAAACTAGAGCAATTACAGTACACTGTGGAGAGTATAGTCAGCCTCATCATGTTAAGAAGTCCCAAAATATATACCCTTTCTAATATCATTAAAATAAAAAGTCAAAGCCAATAGTCATAAGAGCTGTGTTTTTACAGCAGGGGTTTGGCCATTATGAAGATGTGTCATATTCTTGCAACCAATAACAATAGAAACTCACTAAACTAGCAATAATGAGAGGAATGATTTCAGCAATGATCTATATAAACATACAAACAGGGCATTCCTTTTTAAAAACAACACAGTTGAGGCCCAACAAGAATGCATGGTATGAACTGTTCAATTTTAAGGCCTCCATTCAAGAATCAACCTTGCAAAAATTTAGCCAACTTAAACGCTATCGTCATTATAATCATTATCATTTGAGTGTTAATTGGAAACACTGCGTACATCTATTTGATCACAACTAGACAAATAAATGACTTCTGATAGGGAATTTTCTGTAAGAATATTCTGACCGACTCCCATTTTATAATTAACTTCATTTGTAAAATCAAATCTGATTCAACTATACAGAAGCACATTCAGCTTTATTTCATAGAACAGTACAAAGCCTTAATATAAGTTTTAACAAGCTCAAAATATAAGCATTTAGATAAATTAAAGCAATAAACATCTATCAACCAGACCAGATAACAAAAAATGGTAAAGCAAGAGTGCTGCAGACTCAGAACAATATCAGGACTCGGTCTGAAAATGGGTTTGGCCAAGAAAACAATGCCTACATATTAAAGTATTTTATTGATTGACTAGCACACAATGCCCATGCATATAGATGTTTGAAGGTATCAATGAAAGATCCATGCATGGCTTCAATAACATAATCTACTCACACCAATACTTGCATTTTTCATCGTTATACCAGTGTTTGCTTTCATACCTCCTGACCTAATCAGGCTTAACGCCATAAAAAGAAGTCAAAATGTAAAACTGGACATTAAGAGGAATTCATGCATCCAAAGCATGCAATCCAGCAACAAGCAGTCATCCAAATATAAAACTGGGTGGCAGCATTGATATATAGAAAGATGGCCCTCAGGTGGGCAATAAACAATACCAGATTGTCTTGACAAACAAATAAAACCACTGTGTTACAGGCTTCTTGAGAACTAAGTTTGTCGTGGAGAACGTAGTCAGTAGAAAATAAAGTCCTACAATACTGATCACAAACAGCAATATAGCTGTTAGGACTCAGAAGTTAGGTTAAAGGTTCTTTCAAGCATGCATGTAGGACGGCCACAGGAACTATCATCAGAAAATGCAGATCTTAATTAAATGTTCTAAATCTAGGACCTTATGGTGAAAGAATGTGTTTCAGATGATAAACCACCTAATCAACCAGTAAATCACAAAAATCACACTTTAGAACTATCACGAGTAAATCACAACCTAATTCGAACCCAATTTAGAACCATAAGTCTCTAACCAAGTAAACCACTTAATCAACAAAACCCACTAATTTTCTCAAAAACCCAACAAATTTAAAGCATACCCAGATGATAAATCCTAGTAAAAATCCCAAATTTGTAAACCCAGAAAAACGCAAAGGGGCTTACATTACTTCCTTTCCAGACTTCGTACACGCGCTTTGCTGCCATGAGAAACCCTGACCTTGCTTCTTCTATTCACGCACTAGGCAGGAACAGAGTCAAAGATTTGGAACTTGTGGGCATTCATCTCTCAATCGCATTCGGAATTGATCTGTTCAATGAGATAATGAGCGAAAGACACAAAAACCAGGCAGTAAAAATGAGAAAACTAATTAAATAAGAAATAGGCATGAATAACAAAATGCAACCAAAAAAAATTGGAAACAACAAAATGCGACAATAAAAGAACCAAACCCATAATCGAAAAGCAAATAAATTACACCCACCACTTACCGCCCTTAGCCTTTAAGAAGCTTTAAGAAGCTTTAAGCTTTAATGTCCGCAATCTGGAGAAAGATAGACCACAGACAGACACAGAGACCAACAGATTTTACAAAGAGGAAAAAGGCAGCCTGCCTTTTGTTGATGTAGGAGTAGACATGGCTGCGAAGGCGAGTTGAAGGGGCTACAAACAGAGCGATTGAGTTATGGATCTGGATTTTTGGGTTTGCCGTCCAACTCGGGAACGATCTGGAGAAATTTGGGTTTTAGGGTTCTAGGGATTTGAGTGAACTGAAATTGATTTGGATAAGCAATTTTTTGTTTCGATTCGCAGTGGAGCAACAATGAAGCGGTGGAGAAGGTACGAACGAAGCTGTGAGAAAATTTGGTTTCGATTCGCGGTTTTTGGTTTCGATTCGCAGCGGAGGAAGAAGGAAGCGGCCGAGAGGAGGAACGAATGAGGCTGCGAAAAGATGCGTAATGAAACGGTGTCGAAGAATCTCTAATATTAGAAAGCCAGATGAGTATTTGTGTTTCAGGGTTTCTCAAAATGTTTTTGGACAAAAACACCCCTCGAACAACAAAAAATCTAACCGGCCGGAAATTGATCATTTATAGTTCAAAGGGTGTTTTTGGGATAAAAAGGAAAAAAAAGGGGAGAAAAAAACAGAAATTAACTTCCACGGAAAAGAAAACGTGAATGGATAAGTTTTGTGGAATGAAGAGATAACTGCAACGTTCTGCAAACTTCTCCCGATTCTCAACTCCAGCAAGCTAGGATTGTAAAATGTCAAAGTTAATCAAGTCAGATTCTTATACCGAATTGTTTCTTCGTTCATTGCAAGTAACGTACGATTAAACGGTTTTTTTTTCTGTTTATATGCCTCCATCGATTTTGTAATACATTATAGATAGTTTATGGTGACGTTTCAAATTGCAAAGCTCTTTTCGATGTATGAAATCATCTTTTCTCGGTAGTTACAGCTATTGTTGTCCATTTAATATTATGAGAGTTTTAACGAAAAGCTTGTTGTACTCTTCACTTTAACGAAAAATCATATTTTTACACTTTAACGAAAAGCTTGTTGGGTTTGAATTTTTTTCTTTGTTCCCTTTTAGTAGATTAGAATTATAGTTGTAGTTATGATTCCTTAACTTTAACTCAATTGGAGCAATGGTCCTTCAATAAAAATTCATTATCATTGGTCCCTCAACTCATCAAAACATGCAGCTATGGTCCCTCAACTTTAATTCAACTGGAGAAATGGTCCCTTAACTTTAACCCAATTGTAGCAATGATCCTTCTAACATAACTCGTTTTGACAAAAATTTTGACATAGTTGACGAAAATGATCATAATTATACACTTTGATAAGTTGAGGGACCCTTATTATATAAATGGTTATTCCAACATAACTAATTTTGACGAACTTGATGAAAATGACTATAGCTCCACATTTTGATAAGTTGAGGGACCAATAGTAATGAATTTTTAATTGAGGGACCATTGCTCCAATTTAATTAAAATTGAGAGATCATTGTTACAATTTATTCAGAATTATAAGACCCAAGATAACCATTTTCATATTTGCTTTATATTTTTTTTATATTATATTTGTTTATTCTTTTTACAGGTTTGAAACGATAATTAGATTTGGAATCCAAAGAATGTTATCTTCCGAACAGTAATTTCCTTTTTCCTTTTAGCTTCTCTTTTTCCTTATCTGGGTCCTTTATCCCTTTTATGCTTCTAAGACTACTATGATTAGCTGTTAATTTTTTCCCTAGAGTTCATTAGTTTTTCGCCAATCCTGGTTTATTTGGTGGTGTATGTTTGGAGAGAACTTACTAGACATGGATCTTGATAGTCTCAAGTTGATTTCAGGATTTTAGAAATTCATACAATAGAGATCAAAGAGAGATAGGTGGGCAAGCAAGTTCTTCCAAGAAAAAAAAAAAAAAAGCATTCTTAGTAGATTTGTATGTTTCGTAGTAATTCGTTTCACTATTTCATTGGGTTTCATGTGTAAATTGATAGGTTTTGTGTAACGAGTTCTCCTAATCAATTATGATTACAAAAAGTTGATTACGAATTACTAGCCTTTTGTGTGACATCCCACATCGTCCAGGGGAGTGATCCTTAAATGTATATTTCCATCTCTACCTAGCGCGAGGCCTTTTGAGAGCTCACTGGCTTCGAGTTCTGTAGGAACTCCGAAGTTAAGCGAGAAGGGGGCTAGAGCAATCTCATGATGGGTGACCCACTGGGAAGTTGCTCGTGAGTTCCCAAAAATAAAACCGTGAGGGAATGGTAAGTCCAAAGCGGACAATATCGTGCTACGGTGGTGGAGCGGGGCCGGGAAGTGATCCACCCCGGGTTCGGGATGTGACAATTTGGTATCAAAGCCTAACCCTGGTCGCGTGTGTGCCAACGAGGACGTCGGGCCTCTAAGGGGGGTGGATTGTGACATCCCACATCGCCTAGGGGAGTGATCTTTAAATGTATATTTCCATCTCTACCTAGCGCGAGGCCTTGTGGGAGCTCACTGGCTTCGGGTTCTGTAGGAACTCCGAAGTTAAGCGAGAATGGGGCTAGAGCAATCTCATGATGGGTAATCCACTGGGAAGTTGCTCGTGAGTTCCCAAAAACAAAACCGTGAGGGAATGGTAAGGCCAAAGCGTACAATATCGTGCTACAGTGGTAAAGCGGGGCGGGGAAGTGATCCGCCCCGGGTCCGGGATGTGACATTTTGAAAAGAGTTATAGGTTGCAAATGTGGTGTCAAATGACTTTAATTTAAAAAAATAAAAATAAAAAAACTTATGTTTGGCTTTTAGTGTTTGTTCAACTTGCTTGCAACCTTAAAATTGTGATTGTGCATAATTCTCATCTTAATTATTTACACTCTTTATTTTATCATTATCGTTTGCAAGTTGACAATGAAATGTAAAGCACCAAATGCAAACAAATGGGTAGCAAGCATGGCTTTGATGTAAGTAGTAGACGCTATGTTCACATATGTACATATTTTGCTTTGGTTAATACATTAAAGCATATCATCATTAAAGAGAATGGCACATCAAAACAGACCATCATACAAGTAGACTTTATGTTTTTTCCTTCAAAATAAAAAAAGTAGACTTTATGTTTTTGCATGTATATATTGTTCATCTTTTGTTTTGGATTAATGTATCAAAAATCATACCATTATTTGGTCATGATAGCTTGAAAAAATATGATCTACGTCATACAATTAAACAATGACAACATTTTCATTTAGGCATTTAATGAACATATTAAAAAGATTTTTAGAAGCACTCAACGCCCGTGACAAATTAAAGGTCTTTCACATGTGAGTATGCGTGTGTAAAAAGGCTAGTGTAGACTGATATGAAGAGGCATGGGCATTCTTCTTGCACATGTAACTCAAGCAAAAATGAAATTATACAAACCAAGCAAGGGCAATATCGACAGCACATTGTTCAATGAACAGTGTTTTAGTTCATTTTCTCTTTTAGTATATATATAATTTATTGATTTACCATTATCATTAGACCATCTTTATATAAGACGTCAAATACATGAGTGGTTACTCAAAGGTTCTCTATAGTAACCCAACAACTTCTCTACATTATTACGATGTTTATGATAGTTTAATAACATACATTATTTGTGTCACTACACTTTCCTTTGGATGTTCTTGTAGCAATGATAGTTGTCACGACAAAACCTTGATTGGAAATCCTAGTGGGATAAAACCAACGCGAAGGAGAAAAGCCGAGCATAGTTAAAAAGACATTGATAAGTTGTTGGACGCGCATAATTTTGTCTCATCAAAACTTTGACATGAAAAATCCAATGGGATAAAACCTAGTTGAAGAGAAAAAAACACAACACACTTATACGTCCATTATAACATATTGTCGAAGACTCCCCCTTATGATAGTAAGCCTTGATTCTACTGGTCAACACTTTCAAGTTTGAAATAATGTGACTTCGGTCTCCAATAAATTAAGCTTGGGTAGAACTTGACCTAGGGAAGTGCAGAAGTTTATTCGGAGTTGACAACAACTGTTTGTGTTCATGCAAAGAACAAATAAATATAAAATACACTTGGAGTAGTATAAAACTCCATGGTAAATATAAACCATATATTAGCCTTGTAGGCTCTTCAAGAGTTTCGTGCGGGGCAGAGGCTCTCTGATGGTCAAGTTAGTAAGCAATTTTAGAATCAAGCAGTGGGCAAAAGAATTAGAGTATTGAGATTATGTTACCATAGACGAACCCTAGATGAGTGTATTTATACCATTGGGAGAGAGATCGTTTTAGGATAGAATCCTTGTTCTAAATTGGAAAAATCCTAGAAGATATCTAAAAATAGATATTGCACCCTCTTAAAAGTTATGATTACTTGAGGCGCACACCGATTTCTAGGTTGTAGGAACTTCATGATATATAAGGATCTGATTAAGGTTGTATCTAGATTAGATTACATATCTTATAGAACAAGCATGGTCATCTAGCAGAGTTGCTCGGACTTCGTCTATTGACCCGAAACAGGGTGATGGTGGCACCATTGCTTTGTCTGGTCTAGCTCCGCTTGGAGCTGTTGAGTCCATGACCAGACTTCTAAGGTAAATTTGGATCAGCCTTACTCTAACCCTGAAAAATCATGGTCTCACACCTTTTATAAAAATGATAGTGCTATTCACACACTTATTTTTATCTCCAACACACTCTTATTACTGTTTTGTCATTGATATTTTTAATTCATTCAATCCGATGATCGAAAATTGAGAAAAAATGTATGAGAAGTAAAATAGGTGTGTAGATAGCATTACCCCTGCAAAAACTATGGAGCATGTTTTGTGGTATGAAGTGCACAAGGCAAATTGACGTAATTGAAACAGACGAGTTGAGTTTTCTTATCTACAAAATTGTACCATACTACTTTTTATTCAACTAATTTTTTTATTTTTATAAATTTATCAGGTAGGTTCAAGAAGAAAAAAAAATGGTATTGCATTGATTTGAAAGAAAAAAACCTTGGATCATTATTTTTCAGAATTTCAATCTCAAAAATAATATTGTGTGTTATTGTAAGTTGTTTTTATCACTTTAGTATTTTCTTTTTTAATAATAGCATTATGGTTGAATGGTTACCCTTTAAAAGAGTTGGGTACCCCCGAGAGAGAGAGAAGAGAGAGAGAGAGAAGGGCACAAAACAGTGTCTCGAGCATAAACCAAGCGACCGGAAAGAATGGAGTCAGAGGCAGATCATACACACTGTGAAATTGACCAGATTGAAGAACACTGTGCGCGTCAGCTGCTCTGCCTGACGGAACAGCGTACCGGAGAAGAGCCGCGGTACACCCACATTGAGCAAAACGAGTTCTTGCATAGAAGGTAAGTTACAATCACTGTCTCACTGTTAGTTTTTAGCTTCGGCATGAGCTTGTGCAATTCGGTTTATGGAAATCGAACTGCATTGGTTGATGAATTGCCAATCTGTTATTTGGGTTTCTCAATTTGTTGCCTTTGCTTGTAAATTTTGGGGTTTGTTAAGTTTTTTAAATACGGGATCGGAAAATTATGCTGTTGGGAGGATTGATGGGCTATTTCATTTGGTTTTGAATCTAAAATATGAGGTTTTGGGGTTTAGGGTGTAAGATATATGATATGCAGTTATTTTCTTAATTGAAAATATTATCTTGTGTTGCCATGGCTCAGATACACCTGCTAACCTGCTCAAGGAAAGCTTGCAGTTTGTTATTTTCTCAATTTCTCGACTTTCTTGCAGACTCCATTGCATGGTTTTCTTGTTTTGGGTGGTGGTGGTGGTGAAGTTGCAGGTCATATCATAAATACTTGCATTGAAAATTTAAAATTATATAACAAGGGTTTCTTCTCTTCTATTTGTTTTATTTTTTGCAGACATAAGACACTGGCGGAGGAAGATATTGCTATATGTGAATGCAAGTATGATGAAAATGATCCTGAAAGTGCATGTGGGGAGAGGTGTTTGAATGTAATAACCAACACAGAATGCACTCCTGGGCATTGCCCTTGCGGTGTCTATTGCAAGAATCAGGTAAATTTTTATTTTTTCCTCTGTGTGTGTCTTCTCTCGCTCCTCCTGCTCATGGGTTTGTGAATATGGATCTGATAGCTTGCATGTTATTTCTTCATATTTGTCTTTTTCTGTTTATACGTAAGCCTTCATGACATCGCCAAGTATAATTCAGAACTTTGTACATTGTGATTGTAGAAGATTATACTACTTAACCAATCTGTATTTTATTTATTCTATTTCCAATTCTCTTTCGTATTTGCCAATTCATATTATCCTCATGTAATGTTTATCCGCATATTGGTTTTAGCAGTATTGATCCTAACCGATTTTCATCCATCAAATGTTTCAATTCTTCACAAAAAGAGTAAATATGGTGGTAAGACCATGGTTACCGCTGGAGGTGAGAATTTGTTGCCAAATACAAGGAAAGTTTATCTTTGATAGCGACATCGTACTATTTGTAACCAAAAAACTTAGTTAAAGGTGGGCAGGGAGAACTAGATGGGGTTGGCAATGGCACCACTCTTCAATGTTTGTCTTTCATAGTTGCATCTGTAACTCTATTTTGTTTTTCAAACGTTCGTTATGCTGTTTTCAACCATCTAATAAATTATCTAAAACACCTTTTCCTTTTCTTGAAAATATTGGGATAGTGATGTCCTTAGAATGAGTTTAAGATAATTTGAATCTTCAGTACCCCGTTCAAATACTATGAAATTGCTATTATTCATTTCTGATACCTCATTTGTTTACTGTCAACAGAGATTTCAGAAATGCGAATATGCCAAGACAAAGTTGTTTAAAACAGAAGGTTGTGGTTGGGGTCTTTTAGCTAATGAGAATATAAAGGTAAAGCCTACTAGTTTGTATTGATTTATTACAATTGTATACTGATTTCTCTTTACCTGGGTTCTTTTCTATTCAATTATTTACTTGAATAATTATATACATATTACTGAGTTTTAGGCAAGTTTCTGGTTGCTGTTTCTTTTGAAACATTTGAACTGTATAGTGCATCTTGGTATGTTATTTATCTTAGGAACTTTTGTTTTTGACTCAACTAAGAACGTTGAAGCTTTATAAGTCTATGAGCTCTTTATAGTTTTATCTTTTGAGTGAATCTGTAATTTCTTGTAAGCTATTTGATTTGTTTTATACAATGCAGGCAGGACAATTTATTATTGAGTACTGTGGGGAAGTGATAACATGGAAAGAAGCAAAGCAAAGATCTCACACTTATGAAGTCCAAGGTGATTTAATAGGCTTACCAAATATATGTTTGTATTACTTTATTGAAACTGAGTTCAATTTGTGCATTGATGTAGGTCTCAGAGATGCATTCATTATTTCTCTCAATGCTTCTGAATCTATTGATGCCACTGAAAAGGGAAGTGTTGCTCGATTTATAAATCATTCATGGTGAGCCTCATCAGGCAAATCTTTCTGGGAAAGTTTAGTATGTTAGTCTAGTATATATTTAGACTAACTAGCTGTTATCTTTTACTTTTATTTTACTTGCCCCAAGTTGAGATTGAGTTATTATACGTTAATGTTTTCAGCCAACCAAATTGTGAGACAAGAAAATGGAATGTGTTGGGCGAAATTAGGGTTGGAATATTTGCAAGGCAAGATATATTGGCTGGAACTGAGTTGGCATATGACTACAATTTTGAATGGTATGGGGGAGCTAAGGTTCGCTGCCTCTGTGGTGCTTCTAGCTGTTCAGGATTTCTTGGGGCAAAGTCTCGTGGTTTTCAGGTAATTTATTGATTTACAATTCTGGATACAAGTTTCATTTTAGATATTAAAGATGAAATAGCAGTTGTTTTGAGTGTGTGCTGTAGGTGGCTGATATCTCCATAGCTGCACGTTATCTATTTCTTATTATAAAATTATCTGGATAATGAAAAATTAAAATCTTGACTACGATGCATAATTCAAGTTCCTCAATCTTTCTGGTTACATTTTATTTTAATCTTTTCAGTTTCTTTTTATCTAGGCATGGGCCCATTGTTCTTTGAAATTCATTGCATAACCTCTCTGAAGCTTTCAACTTTCCAGGATCATAAATACATATATTATACTTATAAAATGGTTTTAGGTTTTTTCATTGTCCATCAGTTGGCAATTGTCCTATAAACTTTTATGGGGCATATGTTTGACGCTTAGTTTAGAGGCATTGTATCAATTAGTGTAAAGAAATAAAAACTTAGGCATTCCTCACGTAGTCACCCTGAAAGTTTCTTAGGGCATACAAGTGTTTTGTGAAATTTCTAAAAAGTGTGGTGTAGCAAACTCACACTTCTAAGATAATTAAGAAAAATGAATTCTTTTCGTATGGGTTTTATTTATATTATTTATTTTTTTAAAACCCTAGTGAATAGAACCCCAAGTCTCTATCATTCATACCCTGCACTCCGTTACGCAGCCAATTGACCCCCTAAGAAGCATGCAACGCAAAATTTGAATGGTTACTATATGGCAGCATCTCCATCATCAGTTGGGAGTTGAATTGTTGAACAGTTGCTATTTCAAATTTTTGTTCTTCTAGTGGTTTTTATTCTTGCAAAAAGGGTTTTTTAGAGTTCACGGTATTTCAATTATGCTCTTAACTCAGAAAATTCAGTAAACTTTGTGGTGTTTGGCAGGAGAGAAATCTGTGGTTTCATCTCCTTTTCTTCCTCAGTGAGACTACTAACAACCTGAAAAATATATATTTACGGTGTCATGGGCCGGTTATTGGGTTTCTGGTACCAAATTGGGTTGTTTTTAACATGTTGAGATATAGGGACTGAAAATGGGATTGCCAAATTTGTGGTTTTAATGGTGGTTTTAGGCCTGATCAGTGCGCTTTGAGCTTTAATAATTCTTCTTAATGACCATTGTAACCTTTGGAAAATGACTTAAAACAACTTAATTCACATCTAAAATGTTTTCCAGTTACTCAACCATATTCACTCAAGCTTATACCTACCCTACGATCCAATTATAACAATAACCCTACCTATCACAATCTTCAAAATCAGCCCTTCCTCACTCCATAAACCCCAATCACATAATACCACCCATATTGAGTTTTCTTGGTCAATGGAGCATCAAATCATCATTTATGACAAGTCAGTGAGAATGGAAAGGTATGTTATATGCCAAATTAGTTGAGCTCATTTTGTCCCTTTGGTTACTAAACACTGGGCTTATGTTTTGTTTGGCTACTCAGAGCTGAGCACTAAATGTACTGTGCAGTTATATGTGGCCAAACAACAATTCATTAAATGTAGCTAGATATTGCTGCAGAGCACATTTGGAGTGTAACCAGAAATGGCTGCACACCAACATGAAAGTGGAGCCAGTTTAGCCACGCAATTCTCTCTATGTGCTGTATTCTGAATCTCTGATACAGAACACTAACCAAATTCTTTATCTAAACTTGTTTTCTCTAATGCAGGGTGATACTTCTTCTCGATGTAGTGGGGTTGGCTCAGAATGTGCAACAGACTACACAAGTGAATTTACAACTAATGAGGTTACCAACTCTATCTTTAAATTGATAATGGACTTCATTATGAGACTGCTTCACTAGCTTTGGGTTTGGTCAAAATATTTCTTGCACCAACATGGAAGCGCTTCCCTCAGTGACTTTGGCTCCTCTTGTGACGAGTTCTTTATTCAAACTTGTTTTTGAGAATGCAGGACGACAATTCTGCCCGAGATAGTGGGGTTAGCTCAGACTGTGTAATGGATTTCACAAGTGAATTTACAACTTATGTGGTAACTAACTTCATCGTTAAAATAGCTTTGGTCCCAATAAGAGCCATATGGATATTTTGGGTACTTATATGCTAGTTTTTTGTTTTGTAGATATTCAAGACTAGAGAGTCCTTGATGCAGTGGGCTCGTGAGGCTGGAAAGCGAAATGGGTTTGTTATTGTGACAATACGATCTGATATGGGTAGTAAGAGTACAAAACCAAGAGTTACATTAGGTTGTGAGAGGGGTGGAAGATTTAAGAGAAGAAAACTAGGGCTGCAAAAAAAAGACGTGGGACAGGCACAAAGAAGTGTGGGTGTCCTTTCACATTGAAAGGGGAGAAAGTCAGCGAATGGGGACGGATGGATGCTAAAGGTTGTATGTGGAGTGCATAACCATGCATCCACCGAGTATCCTGATGGGCGATCATATGCAGGGAGGTTATCTGAGCAGGAGACTTCACTCTTGATAGACTTGTCAAAGAGTTTAGTACGACCCAAAGAAATCCTGAGCACATTGAAGCAAAGGGATGAACTCAATGCTACAACCATAAGGACGATCTATAATGCACGCCAAAGACAAAGAGTTAAAGAGAAGGCAGGGAGGTCTCAAATGCAACAACTGTTATGTAAGTTGAATGAGCATGACTATGTCGAGTGGCATAGGAGGTGCCCTATGTCAGAGAGTGTGCAGGACTTGTTTTGGGCGCACCCTGTGAGTTTGGAGTTGTTACGTGCATTTCCAACCACTTTGATGATAGATTGCACTTATAAGACCAATAGGTACCATTATCCCTTACTAGAGGTTGTAGGCGTCACATCCACTGATATACATTCTCAGTTGCATTTGTCTTTTTGGATTCTGAAAAAGAAGACAACTATATATGGGCATTAAGTAAATTGCGTGGTGTCATGGTGGAGTGTCCAATGCCAAATGTAATTGTCACAGACATGGATTTGCCATTGATGAGAGCCATTGAGGTAGTATTCCCTACAGCTAAAAATCTTTTATGTAAATGGCATATTAATAAGCATGTGTTGGCAAAATGCAAAAACTTGTTTGAGTCCAAGGAAAGGTGTGATAGATTTATTATGAAGTGGAACGTACTTGTGAGCTCTCCTACAGAAAATGATTACATACGGGATCTAGCAGTGTTACAGAGAGAATTTAGTATGTACGCTGAGGTCATGGAGTATGTTACAAACACATGGTTGAATCCTTTCAAGGACAGATTTGTGTCGGCTTGGACAGACATGATCATGCATTTTGGTAATGTAACATCAAACAGGTAATTTCATGAGGTTATATTACTCACACAATATTACATTATTGGTTTAATATGAAGTTTGTAACTTTGTGTTAACTTGTTTGCATTTTTTTATGTTTTAATAGGGCCGAGGGTGTACATTCCAAGCTTAAGAGGGAGCTTGGTATGAGCCAGGGGAATTTTGAGGGTTCTTTTGAGAGTATACACTCTCTTATTGAGTTACAGCACACTGACATAAAGATATCTTTTGACAAGTGTTTGACGGTCACACAACAAAGCTTCAAGTCTTCAGAATTCAAATATTTGAGAGGAGTTGTATCTATGTTTGCATTGGAGAAGGTGTTATCTCAGTCCAAACTAGCCATCTCAATTGGTGCTGGTGGTTTAGGATGTGGTTGTGTCATACCCAGAACGCATGGTCTACCTTGTGCCCACGAGATTGTGAAATACAAGAGGGAGTGTCGGCCAATTCCTCTTGAGTCGCTTGACCGCCATTGGACTAAACTTGATATACTACCTCCGAGTTCTGCTCAGGAATCTATGGATGTGAATGAGTTTCCTGAGTTGGAGCTTGCTTCAACGATACTTTCTGGAGGCAAATGCAGAAAATAGGTTGATGCTCAGGAAAAGAGTGAGAGAACTTGTAGCACCCTACACAACTAGTCTTGTTGAACCAGGAGTCAAGTCCAGATTACGAGGTCAACTGAGGGAGAAAATTGATATGTCAACTCAACAGGACCCATATGCATTTGAGTTGAAATCTGCATCTGTGTATAGTCACTCACCTAGCGCAATGGATGATCAGCAAAATTTTAAACATAAGCAAACGGAGCGAACCAAGGAGGTAATAAAGATACCAATTACTAAATCGAATATCATATAGTTACCCATTTATACATAAGGTTCATATTCATGCAGGTGTACCGGACATTATCAATGAAAGGTATTTCGTATATTGATGCGTTCCCAATTGGATTGAGGCCCTTCATTCAGCAAGTCAAGGATGTACGTCATGATGGTCACTGCGGGTTTAGGGCAGTTGCTGATTTGGTGGGATTGGGTGAGAATGGATACCTGCAAGTTCGTAATGACCTGCTTACTGAGTTGTCTTCATATTCTGCACATTATGGCGAGTTGTATGGCAGCACAGACAGGGTTCGTGAGTTAGCACAGATACTATCATTCTTTGATGAAGGTAGAGCACCATTTGACAGATGGATGATGATGCCTGACATGGGTCATCTTATAGCATCATGCTATAAGGTTGTGCTTTTCCACTTATCATCTACTCAGTGCCTTACCTTCCTACCACTTCGGTCAGCACCAGTTTCTTTGCCAAGGCGTCGACAAATTGCTATTGGTTTTATGAATGATTGTCATTGTGTGGAGGTATGATACCAATAATAATGGACTGTTCTATTTTATTTGTAGATAGGCAATTTAGGTTAATGTTACATATATTTCTTGTAGGTGTTCTTAAGGCCGGGGCATCCTGTACCTCCCATTGCGTCTGATTGGATCAGATATCATACGCCAGCTGCACAAGGATGGGACACTGTGTATACTAGTTGTATTTTACGCTTCAAATCTCTTGTTAGCTGTGATCAAATCTGACTCGGTCAGGTGCAAGTAACGACTCCAAACTTTCTCAAAATATGCTTAGAATGGTCAGGTTTGATCACGTCTATGCACAAATGCGCCCTGAAAGGAGATGCCATGAAGTGGATGTTGCTCTCAAATCCCACCATAAGGATCCAAAGTACCTACACAAATAATGGAAACAAATATTTCCATTGATAAATACTTAGTGGTAAAGTGTTAAACCTTATAGTATGGACAGGGCATCTTAGATGTCGCCTGTTACGAAAGCATCCAGCACCTCTTGTATCCTACAAATCATTCATAGTGGCATCATTTGACAATTGTGGTATCCAACGACAAACAAGTGGTTGGCCTGAGATAGATCATGATACGACCATGTCTCAAACAGCAGGAAACTTACATACATCTGCCTCAAAAATCGTCAAGTATCCTGTTATCAGTCTAATACCTTGTTAGGTGCCCCAAATGTAAATGTGTAGGCAAGGGCCACAACTCCCCATACACACCACTCATCTGACTAAATTCCATAAGTATACAGTAGTAGGTTTTATACACACACACATAAATTCCATAAGTATACAGTAGCAGATTTTATACACTCGTGGACCACTCTTATCAATTAACTGTACATGTCAACAACTCAACATACAAACAATACACTTAGTATCTTGATCGTGCACATATCAACAAAATTGGGAAGAACTGAAAATCCCTTAAAACTCCACATTTATTTGTTGGTCCTCCATCACTAGTTCTTTCAGTCATATTCTCAGCATACAAGAAAAACTAGCTTCTCTATACTGTCTGCTTTTTTTTTATGTTCCATGTAGTTTTTGTTTAATCCTATTTGTATTATCATACTTATCTTGTAGGGCATGTTTATTTTATTTATTTATCTCATTTCTTCTAAGTTCTTAGCATTTAGCATTGAGTGTTCATGTGATTTCTAGTGTTCATTTGCTGTTTTGTGCATTTGTTCAAGATATTAGTTAGTGTTGTGTATTTATAGAAACATCTGGTGTGCGTTTTGCTGTTATTTTTGTTTTGTTCAGTAAATTGTTCTTCTTGGTAAATATTTTAACCTGTGTTATGCAACTTTTTTTACAAACAGGAGGATACTTACCTATGGGAAGACGATGATGACAGGTAATGTGCCATACATTGGGATGCATTTCTCTTCAAAGTTTCTTCCTGCAGAAGTGATTGTTGCATGAATTTCTTACTTTAACATGTCCTTAGCCTATGTTTTGGTCGGCCCTGCATGCACTTGCTTGTTGATTAGTTGTAGATTTATACTTTAGTTATTGTCCTTCGAAATTTTGTTCCCATTGATTTAGTTCCTCAAGTTCGCATAATAGGCATTGATATATTGTAATCTAGCAACGACACTTCTTTGAAGTTGTGTTTGTCGGACAACATCACAGTGCTCTTCTATGTGGTCTGTGTGCATTTTTTAACCACCCAACACCCCATTGACATTTTCCCAACACTTCGATGAGATAGTTGAGGCGAAAATATAGTTTGTTTCTTAAGAAATTGTAAAAAGATGTTATACAATAAGGGTGGGTGCCTAGGGATAAAATTCAAGACTTAGCAACAAGGTGACTTAGTTAACCATGTCCTATGGATGTTACATGTGAATACTAATTCTTATATTTTTTTTATTTCTATATTGTTATTTTCATATTTTTATGACACTTACAGAGCTAACACTTAAGTGTGGCTACATTTTGAATTTTAATTATTGGGTTGGATTTATTATGCTATAGTACTTAATATGGAGTTAGGGCTTTGGTTTTACTTTCCCTTAATGAACTTTTTGACTATTAACTTTAGATGAATTAATTACAAGCTAAGTATGCATAAAGATGAAACTAACTGTAAAACAATAAAAGAAAGTATACACTTCCTGCATCCATGGCGTGTGGTATTTTAATTTGTTAAAACTTGCCTTGTCATTGTTGATGTGCCAGTGTCGTGTCGGTGGCTCCTGATATTTTATATATTTTTGTTCTTTTCCTGTAATCCTATAGTTTGTGATTGTGTATACTATAGTTTGTGATTTTGTATACTTTTGAATAGATGGGCAACTTTTTCGTTTCTTTACTTACCTATTTTTCTTTAATAAGTATATTTTGTGCATCGTACAAAAACAAATAATTCTAGTTTGATCTGAAGTCCTGGGCCGTTTCAGACCTTAACTGAACTAATAGGGTAAAGAGAAAACTCTTCAAAGAATTGTGAGTTTGTGGAAGACTTGAGTTTGGAAATATCCCCATTCATAGATCTGAGATCCACATCTATGAATTGAAATCAACTCTGAAGTATCAAAAGGTCTTCAAATCGTTCATTTGAAACAATAGAAACTCTTATTGAAGGATCATGATGCTTCCCAAAAATCTAAAATCTTGATCGATAGAGGAACAATATCACCATTTTTGTTCAGTAAGATACATGAATCAAATGAGTGGATCAGCGCAAGTAGTTTCCACTTCTATGGTGGGACTGGTTATCTTGCTAAATTTCAGAACTATTCTAACACAGGACTTAGGTTATCCTTTTCCTTTTGTGGCCTATGTAGTTGAAAGGTATAGGTTTTATGACAGTTTTATCTTGACTATGTCTTTAGTATCAAACAAAAATCTCTCAAACATACCACATTCACTCACGCACACATGTACATATATAGAGATTTTTTTGAAGAATTGTGCATTCGATTTACGACTTTCCTTTTGTATTCAAGTTATATACACAACTGCCTCTTTGTGACAGATATTCAGTTGAGAAAATTCCACTGTACGATTCTGCAGAGGATGAGCCTTTGTCTAGGCTCTTCAAGGCTGTGAACTCCTCAGAGTTTGATGTTGCCGAGATGATGGTGAATGTCAATGTGGATTCTGAACCTCAGTCTACTGCTCTTGTTGTGCAATCACTTGATTCTGTTCCAATGGAGGGTGTAGTTATGGAGGTAAAAACAGAAGTGAGCGAGGAGAGGAAACTTTATTCAGAAAACAATCAACTGGCTATTTCAAAAAAGAATGCGATGATATCTCGTATCCGCAGTAATACTGCAGGTCGGAATTATCACATTGGATCAGGGTCCATGTCAAACAAAAGATCAAAACAATATAATGGAAAGTTGAAACATGGTGCACAAAAGCAAGTTGACGCCAAGTGTGTCGCTGCGCTTCTAGCATCAAAGGAAGCACAAGAGGAAATTTTAAATTATGAGGTATTTATTTTCAGTTTTTATTGATCTACTTGGTGGACTAAAATATCGACATTAACTTTGCCCTTACATGTTCATCTATGCGTCACACCCTGTTCTATCTTCCTGGAGTTGCGTTATTTATATTTTGTTGAAGTACAGTTTTAGTATTTAACATTATGATTTTTTCACTCTCTTAGAAGTGGTCTATTTATCAAAATTGTTCATGTTATAATTTCGTTTGCAGCGGATGAAAAACAACGCTGCCACTCATCTTGAATCTCTCTACAATGAGATACGACCTGCCATTGAAGAACATGAAAGGGACAGCCAAGACAGTGTAGCTACCAGTGTAGCTGAGAAGTGGATAGAAGCCTGCTGCTTGAAACTCAAGGCGGAGTTCGACCTTTATTCTTCCATTGTTAAAAGCATTGCCTGCACTCCGCGAAGGCCGTTTGGCCAAGCTGAACCTTCTGACGGCAACACCGAGAATGAGATGAAGTACTTGCAGAATTGATCTTTCTTACCACGATCACTGGTTTGAAAATTGAAACCGATGAACGTTACTTCTGTTTCGCAACCATCAGATTTACACTATGATTCTGGTACTATTTTTACATATTCGGCGTTGTGAGTTACCAATTTACGTATTATGAAGCTACATTTTACTTCCGGACAACCCGAGTTATGGTTGTTATTACCTACTCTCGATCTCTTGGAGTCGGACGCATCGGAACTGCGTCGGACTTTTCTTCGGGCTTAAGACCCTCTGTGGTAGGCTAGTTGGCTACAACAGTTTAGAATAACGCATTCATTTTGTTCGTTTACATAAGAATTTGGATGTCCAAAGCGGCAGGAGTATCTTCACATTTGTTTCCTCGAAACTTCTACAACGCTGCGGAGTATGAGATGTTACGGACTTTTCTGAGCGTTTAGATTTTGATAAAGTTGGAACGGTTTCTATGAGGCTTCTCTGATTTTGTTTGCGTACGTGGGCAGGTGGACCAGCTACTACTCCTGGCCCCACATAATGACGCGTGGGTCCCTGACCATTGCACACGATTTCTGGCAGGTCCCGCGCAAAATGTAGGTCGTTCTCGACTTCTTATATTTTTACTTTTGTTTTGTTGTGTTTTAATCAGGAATTCTCATTTTATTCCACACATTACTTTTCAAATCAAAGGTTTTTTCTTGCCAACAATCACATTTGAATTATTATTCGCCAATTATTATCTTTGTTCAAATGATAGACGAGTTCTCAAATTTAATTATCATCGCCAGCGGATTAAAAATTTATTTGAAAAAATAGTTATAATAAACATACTTTGACATTTGATTTATAGAAATTATCGTTTTTTTAATAAGGACGGCATATATTAATCATGTAACACTCAAGAAAAATAAAAATAAGGTGTCACTCCCTTTCTCAATTTTAATATAGCATTCAACCCCTGTCACCATTCTTCCTTTCATACTTACCACTACACATCCAAATTTCTTGGCATATCCTTTCTTGAAATGAAAAGATACCAATTGTCATGAAGAATTCTTCAAGACATTTGGTATTTTCTAAAAATATTTCTAATTACAACAGATAACGTTTTAGCGTAGTAACAAAAAACAACTATGTTTATATTTCCTGATGCAGATTTGATCCCCAACGATCATCCTCCGCCTAACAACTAACAATTTAACCCCTTAGCTATCATTTGTCAAGGAAAAAAATGATCACTCTTGTTGTATTTTTGCCGAAACTTATGTTTGACATGTATGTTTTTCGAATATGTAGAGACCCTCCTTGTAACCTTTATGCCGTTGTATACGTTATACCTTCATCATAGACAATAAAATAGTCTCTAAATAGCATGGTTAGTAAATTTGCATATAACACGTCCAATATTTAAATAAACAAAAACAAGAAAGTACGACAAATAATACGTAATTACATGTTATATTATATTATATTATATTGATTACGTATTTTACTAAGTATGCCAAATAAATTGATTTCAAAGTAGGCGTTGACTCGTCTTCCTTGACTCGCCTACTGATCTTCGCAATCTCCTCATTCATACTCAATCAAACCCACCTTCCACGCAACCCCGTTTCTTCCATTGCAGCCTGCTCCCTTCCTCGCCTTCTCCTACCCCACATCGATCATATATCTCTCTCACCAAACCCCTCTTTTGCTAGTTATACCCCCCTCTCCCGATCAATTTCAATGTATATGGACAAAC